AGAGAGAGAGAGAGAGAGAGAGAGAGAGAGAGAGAGAGAGAGAGAGAGAGAGAGAGAGAGGGCTCAGAGGGCCTATACTAACTGTTCACTTGTGCACTTGACAATGTATGCATGATTATCTTCTCAGGCGGTTAGCGTCTGTTCCTGACCTCATTTTATCCATCTGATTCCATGCGGATTTGAACCCACCATCTGTCCATCAACCATTGGACGTGACTCCCATTCAACCACATATTCTCCGCTGGGTGTTATTACTGTTCTACTGTTCCATTCGTCTTTTCAAATACACTTTTTGTCCCTCCTAGGGAAACCCAGATAAGGGCCAGACTCAGGAGTAACATTCATTCTCAGACTCTCTTATTCCTAAAACCACAGGGTCTCTGAGTCGCTGCACTAGACTAAGTATGTTCACCTGAATAGAGCACCCGATTATTCTTGCAACCGCATCTTGAGTGAAAGTTGCCCCAAATAGAGCAATGATGACCGGGTTCTCTATGCCGGAGAAGACGGTACTCGTCACCGAAATATGTAAAAATAAAATGTCGAGCATAAATTATAACGGTAGTCAACCAAATACGGAAGAAATCATGTCGAGCGTATCTTCACCTACACTGCACTACTACTATGTGCAGCAAAGATGCAGTGGACATCGTTTTGTCTTTTGCACATTTCTACTTGCTAGCCTGATGGAGGAGCCAGGACCCAGATGTTTATCATAAGGGCCTCGCCACACCACTGTCGAAAACCTCGAAATCTCCACGGCTGTCAGCAGAAACTCGACAGCCTCCCTTTCAACAGTTCGCCCCCCTTTTGCCACCACACAGCACTGTCCAAGTGAAGAGCTCACCAATCATCCATCCTCGGGAACCAGCCGATGACTCAACACTGCTCATCTACTCAAATGGACGCTGGACCCGCTTTCCACCAATAGATGGGGCGTCCAACAGCAGGTCTGCTAGGGGAGGCTTGCTCATATCACCAACCCTAGCATGCCAAGCTGGGCTTTTTTCCAAAAAAAAACAAAAGTGAAGAACTCACGAACGCAAGTGCAAAAGAGACAACCCCGCATGAGTATAGGACAGGCAGCCCTCCATCCCGACCTCAGTCCCACTCAACAATCTCAGAGAAGAACTCGCTACCTCGGCGGTGGACTGTTGAAAATGTCGATGTCGCAGGGTGGAGATACGACCTCCTCGATGTCGCAGGGTGGAGATACAACCTCCACTGAAAGGAGGTGTCGAAACACTTTCCCTGATAACTTTAGAATCCTTTTCCCGTCAGACTCTCGGATTTCGACGGGCTGTGTGTGGCGAGGAGGAACTGTTGAGAATCCCTCTTTCGACAGTCGTGTGGCGAGCCCCTAAGTCTCTCTTCAGAGAATCAACTCCAAAACAGTTCAATCTTCAAACCCCCCTCGTACACTGGGGCCTGGCAGCGCTGCACTGTGTGCCAAGCTTTGCTGAGCTGCCAGCGGTGCACTTTTTGTCTTTCTTGGTGGACACCACCAGCCATTGTCGTCCCGTAGCCCAGAGGCTCTAAAATTTTAGAAGTAGGCCATGAAGAATCTTGCTAGGCTGGGGCCATGCACTTGGGGTTTAAGAACTCAATCAAAGGCTGCTGAGTCCGTCATGATCGGGCTCTATACAGCTCCACTGTCAGATAACCGGCGGCAAAAAGTGCCAATTGCTCGGACTGTGTTGCGTCCGGCCGTTGGTCCTTCTCATCTGCGGTCCAGAATGAAGCATCCAGGCAAGCGGGACCTTACCCGGGTTCTATGCAGCGGCTGTGGGCCCAGATCACTGACTGAAACTTAGTGTCCAACGAAACGCTAACCTGTGTACAATGGGACCCTGGCCCCGTTCGGAGCAGGTGCCACTCGCTGTCAAATAAATGGACCCTCAGCAAAGAGGGTGCAGTCCTGCCTACAGCCCATTGCAAGCCTTTCAGCTCTCTGAGGCCACCCTTCTGAGTTTTGCCGCTGCGATGTCTGCCTTGCTGAGACTTGATGATTTCTATATTCTGCTGAGATTTCTAAGTCTCTGTGTGTGCGTGCTTGCTGGTCTACATGCGCCTATGTGCCTGTCTGAGTGCATGTCTGCCTGTCAGTGAGTGTGTGTGTGTGTGACCCACCAGGGTACTTGTTTGTCTGGGAGGCCCTCGGGGCAGGTACTTACCCGAGGCCGGGACTTTGAGGGTTGCAGCGTGGAAACAATCAAATGGTGTAGGTCAGCACTCAAGTAGCGGTAGGGTAGGCCCGCATAGTACTTGAGTAGTGGTAGGCATTGGAGAAGAAGACAAACGGTTAGAATCTTTGGAGGCCGTGTGAGTTTTAGGAGTCCGGTAGGCGTAGGTCTAGGGTACCAGTCCTGGGTAGGCCTAGGTCTAGGGTACCAGTCCTGAAGCCTGAGTCTAGGACGATATCAGACCTGCAATGATGTTTCCCTCTGAAAAGGAGGAGGTACCAGTTGCTTGGGAGGGCTGTGTCGCCTAGAAGTCACCGCCCACGAGGCAACTTGCACGGTATATTTCCAGGAGGAGCGCTGGGCTCCTCATTTGCGGTGCAAGTTTGGGCGTCACGCTGCTGGAGTGGGAGGCGGAGGAGCGCTGGTGTAAGCAGCGCTAGGGGCGGAAGTGGAGAGCTGGACGCTCAACCAGGCTATGTCGAGTATCCCAGCGAGGAGGAGGTGGTGTTAAGGGGACCGGAGGAGAGTGGCAGAGGTACTTACCCGGCTATGGTGGACGTCATCTTCATCTCCTTAGCGGGCGCTGCACCTGGAAGACCTCAGCAGGGGTTGCGCTGCATCGAGAAAGGCTTCAAGGTAGAGGTAGGCATGGTGGCCTGAATTGCAGAGAACATATCTGCTTTGGCGTCGATTTTTGAACATTGGGGCAGGGCCCCTAGTAGTCCGCCATAGCCATCACCTACCGGAGGAGGTGGAGGAAGAAGGTCATGACTATGGTGGACCTCATGTAGTGTTGGCAGTAAGAGGGAGATTCGGACATTGGTTCTGGTTCAGCCACTCATTGTCATTATTATCATTAATTGAAGAATAAGATTGGGGGAGAGAGGGAGGAGGAGAGTGAGTGCCGAGAGAAGGGAGATTTGTCATTGGTCTTATGCTGGTGTACATCTTCTTCGTAGTCTTCTTTCTTACGTCTTCTTCTTCCTTTGTCTCCTCTCTCCAAGTCCTTTCATTTCTTTTGCGACTGAACGGCATCCTCTTTCCTTGTGACACTGTGCTTGCACTTTAGATCACCCAGGATCACAACAGCCCAAAGAAAACAAAAGAAAAAAAGTAACCTGGCAGAGGAGGAGGAGGAGGGGGAGGAGGAGGAGGAGGAGGAGGGCTTGCACATACACACACAATGATACTATATGTAGAGCGGCTGGAGTGCAAAGTGTGTGTAGCACTGCGTACCTTTGGCCTTATCATAGAGCAAGAAGCCTAGGTTTCGCTGACCCCCCTTGAACCCCTGATCAGCACTCTTTCGGAACCATTCCTCGGCTTTTTGGATGTCTTTTTCTACCCCTTGGCCATCACGATAACACATGCCAAGGTTGCACTGCGAGTCAGGGAGATCTTGTTCCGCTGCCTTTTGGTACCACTGGGCCGCTTCCTCGTAGTTTGGGACCCCGTTTGTCCCAGTCCCTTTCCCGCAGGACCACCCTACGTTATGCTGGGCTTGAGCATACCCCTGTTCCGCCGCTTCGCGGTACCACTTGAGGGCCTCCAGTTCGTCCTTGGGAACCCCAGCTCCACGCTCATAGCAGTAACCCAGGTTGGTCTGGGCTCGAGTATAGCCTTGTTCCGCGGCTTTGCGGTACCATTGCACGGCCTCGGCTTCGTCCGTGTCCACGCCTCTGCCATGAAAATAAAGATAACCAAGGTTGAACTGAGCGTCGGCATTGCCCTGCTCGGCAGCTTTGCGATACCAGTCCGCTGCTGTCTTTAAGTCCTCTTCCACACCCTCGCCGTTCTCGTAGCAGATGCCCAGCTTGTTCTGGGCGAACGCGTCCCCTTGCTCAGCGCTCTTCCTTAACCAAATCACGGCTTGAACAAGTGCGAAGAAAGATTGCGGCTGCTGCTTGGCTGCACACACAGTTACGTGTTTTTTGTTTGGATTGTTTTTTTGGTGTGGTGCGTGTGTGTGTGTGTGTGTGTGTGTGTGTGTGTGTGTGTGTGTGTG